TTTTTTTTATAAATATATTCTATAAATCTTCAAATATTAAATATATTTATTTAATTACAAGTTAATATATAAAATTTTGTATAATTACATTTTAATTCAAATATATCAAGTTGGTGTATCATGCTTAATGAGACAACTAATAATTATAAATAAAGATAGAAACAAGCTTTTATCTTAATACTAAAAAAAAAATAATAATAATACAATAATATAAATATAACTATACACATGCCTCAAACTGCTAGAAATCTATTAAACATTGCATTCAAACTAACTAGTACTCTATACTAATTTTTTATAATTAAATTAAAGTTTTTTAAATAATCTAAGTAAATAGAAAAATAATAAAATAATTTCTATTTAGTATAGTTTATAATTTTTAAAAACTCAATACAAACTTATAATTGTGATTGTTTAATATTTATGAATTACAAATTTCATATCTAATACAGACTTAAAATTATAACTGTCTAATTTTTTATAAATTACAAATTTCATATATATATTTTTATTTATTTATTTTTTTTCTTCTTTTATTTTTTGTTTTGTATCTTTTATTGTTTACCTTTATATCTTTGTGTTTTTTTTTAATATATAAAATCTTTTTTTTGTTTTTTTGTTTTTTTACAAGAAGATATAATTAGATTAATGATATCTTATTGTAGAATAATAATCAAACAAGCAGTCTACCTCTGTTTAGAATAGTATGACAGGTTACACTTAGGTACCAATAAGGTGGCCGGGTGATGCTGAACTTAAGTATTAGTATAGTTTCAAGAATTCTAATAAAGTACTAGCGTGACTGCTTAAGATAAAAAAATAATAAATAAATATAAAAATTATCAAAGTTCAACAAAAGGCACATGACATTAACGATCGGCATCATTGACGTCATACACTATTTCCACAATTAGCAAAGCCACCACATGGTAGTTTGAATATAACGTGTTGTCATTCAGAAGTTGTCGTACTTGATTCGTTCAGTTATAATCGTTATAAACGTTTTCGTTTTCGCGCAGTTTATCGTCCTTCTTCGGAATTCTTATCGCTAGGAGTCTCTGTTGATAAGCAACTATCGGACAATATCTTATCCGTTATTCACTCTACTTTATATCAAAAAATAATTACTAAACTTTTGGTTCTTTTTATTAAAACGGTTGATTTGGTTTCTGGTTCCGATCTAAAAGTGTCCTATAGTGTTGAACGATTCGCAGAACCTTTTCCGGTTACCTTATCAGCAACTGACGATATGTCATCAAAGGTAAGAAATAGTATAGAATTTATAGGCATTGTATATTCAAACATAACTAATATATATGTTTACATTCATAATAAGTCAAGACAAAAGCAACCTGCGTTCAAGGGAATTTCCGCTTCCGATGGTAATTTCACAAACATTGAATGTTAATCTGGTTATTACTTCAACCAATAGAATTAACATTAATGCGTTAATGTTTTCAGAGATGAAATATAAGAGGAAATACAGAGAGCTTAAGAAGAAGATCCGTGAAATGGAAGAGGTATACGTTTTATTCATGGGAGGGAAGGATATAATAAAATGACTTATTTTTGAAAATTAAATATAAAATAAAATTAATTGATTGCAGGAAAATGAAAAATTGACTCTCAAATTGACTAAAGCAAAAAAGAATATACAACGATTGAAGATAGAACGAAGGTAAGATTACTTTAATAAATATTTAAATATAATTTACATTGTGTTAACGGCTATCTCGTTTATAGTTTTCTGTTTGATCGGTTAGAGCAGTCACAACCCACGAATGAGTCTGAATCAGAGCCATCATCTTCGCCACAAAGAGTGATAGATTCTGAGGAGGAATTATCTTCGGTGGGTAGTGATGATAATGATGATAATGGTTCACAAACTACGTCAATGAGACAATGATTCAGTAATAAGCAACCTTTGCGAATTCGCGACAAAAAATTTCATTAAAACTGCTTATAAAGCTAAATTTGGCGCGTTCAAAGAGGGATCAGAGCTCTTGCGACAATTTATTGACAAAAAAGGGAAATTCGTACTTGCGCTTTATATATTTGTATTCTTTTACTCATTGTATCTAACTCTTATTTACCCTTCTGTTATTATTTTCCTTACCTTTGCTGTTGTATTATCTATTCCTCACTTTTAATTCCACCGATCCTTTTTTCTAATTCCTTACAAAACCAATAAACAAAATGCGGATGAACAAAAAAAAAAAAAAAAAACAAAAAAACCGAAAAAAAAACAAAAAAAAATTTAATCATTTTATTTACTTTTGTGGGTCATCATTTAATTTTTCTTTCCTTTTTTTTTTCCTAATATGGGTCAAATATATATATATATTAAATAATATATTGATCAAATCATGTATACTTGATATATACCATTTCACAAATAAAATTAAATTAATAATCATAAACTTAGCAGGAAGAGTTACTCGAAGACCAACGTGCAGGCAAACGTAGAAGACAAAATAGGGACCCTAACGCGCCTAAACGACCAAGAAATGCTTTCTTAATGTATTGTCAAATGCAACGTGAACAAGCGAGAGAGGAAAATCAAAACAAAGGGTTTCAAGACGTTACTCGAATCTTGAGCCAACGATGGAAAGAACTACCACTGGAGGAAAAAGGGGTTTGTTCATTTCTCTTTTGTTCAGTTTTTTTTTTAAAAAATTAGTCACCATTTTTTAATTGTGCATAAATAGAAATACTATGACATGTACAAGCAAGAGAGACAACGCTATGAAAAGGAAATGTCTACATATGTTGGCGGGATAAATTCGGACTATGGTGATGAACTGGATTCTGTAAGTGAGGAAATGGTCGATGAATTGGCAGCAGATAGAGATGCAAACGGCTGGCTCGGCACAGCTCACGAATTAAGTTAGTCAGTTTTATTCTTTGGGCTGCCGACTGAACAACTTTAAAACCGAGTTAATCTAATTTAAATAAACCAGTATAATTATAATTTCCGTGTGGAAGCCGGGTGAAAACCGGCGGAAGCGTCACCATTACATATTAAAATGTTACCGTTAATAAACCTTTTTTATCATTAATGAGAATTTCTATAATCAATAGGAAGTTCATTTTTTATTTTTATTATCAATGAGAAAATTTTCATTTTAGCGGTTTAACTTTGTTTATCGTACCTAATAATTTCTATACCTACGAAGATACATTTTTTCATACGCATCATGTGATATCAAAAATCATTCAATACCAATGATTGAATCTAATTGGTCCAGGAGAAATTACTTTCGAGATGATAATCCTTGATCGCATTTATTCCTAAAATAATTCATTTAAAATATCTTATCAAAAGAAATACAGAAATAGTGATATAATATAGTGACATCAATTCGATGAAAACCAGTTATCGTAGGATATATGTATACAGCACAATTTATTAATACAACAGATATTACATAGAGATGCAAATCGACTCATCGGTTCTAATATAAGGATATTAATATTTGCCATCGAAGATTTGTCCCATTTCAAAAGTAAAATCACGACAATCGATGAATTTATAACCCATAATTTCATTTTGTTGGTCTCAGCTTATAAAGCATGTAAAGTTTGACCTTTATTAGGCCACACAAACTTAATAAATCGGTTCTCATAACAAAAATTTTAAAAGTGACCCGGCTTTTAATTTTATTTTCAAAAAATCATATATATAAAAAACAAAAATTTTCATAGATGTTTCAAAAAACTCACCCGGATAGTAAGTATACTTGAAATTTTTTTTTTAGAGCCTTGTGTCAGCAGAAATCGCAATTCTCGCTAATCTGGCATTTAAAAAAAATGGTGATAACGATATGCTTGATAGTACACTTCAATCATAGTAAATTTTGATGATAATGCTAATATATATATAGTATACGTATCGATATAATATATATAAATATTTGAATTATTTTCAGCAATCCATTCAAATTAGTACAGTAGAACCATTTTGTTTTTTTCACATAAAATAAATCATAAGCTGGTTACGAAAATCCAATTTTAAGAAAAATAAAAACAAGGCGCTACTACTTTAAAGCGACTGCTAAGAGAAATCTCGTAAATATGATTGTTCATTTAAAATTTATATTTAGGGGATAATCCGCAAATCTATATTGCTATGAGTAACCGACTGATCGACAAGATCAGGTGTAACGTGAAATCAAAACAAAAAATAACGATAACATTTTTTTAAAAAAAATTGTTGTTAGTGAAAATTTATTAGTAGTTTTGTAAGTAATCAATAATAGATTTTATATAACTATAGATGATCAGAGTCTTTAAGACAATGTTTTTGCTTGAATATGTTTTTTTTTTCTTAAGCAGTCATGCTAGTACTTTATTAAGATTTTTGAAATTATTTTTGCAATTATATGAATATATCTAACAACTAAGTCTAGCATTATCTGGTCATTCTATTGGCATCTAAGTGCAACCTGTTACATTATTTCAAACAGAAATAAGTTCGTTTAATTATTTAAAGTTTATAATAAAAGAATTTTTTTTTTTATAATAAGCTTCTAAATTGTTTTTTTAATTTCATTTTCATTTTGTTTTTGTTTTTTTTTATATATATATATATTTTTTTATCTTTTGCTAATTAGTTTTTTTCTTTTGATTGAATTCTTTTTCTTTAGTATTTTTTTTTTATTTTGCTTATTATTTTTCTTTTTTTTTCATATATTAATCTTTTCACAATATATTCTTTAGACTTGCTTATAAAAAATGTTCTAAATTGTTTTTGTTATTATATCTACAAATTGTTGTTTTGTTCTTATATTTAAAAGTTGTACTAATCTGTTTTAAGTCATTTTTGAAATTAGGTTTTTAATTAATATTTTTCTTATTTCTATTTCTTTTATCTCTGTTTTTTTTTGTTTTTTTAATAGTTAAACTAGTCTTTTGAAGATTAAAACTTTTTTATTTAGTATAGTAGGACATGGTAGCTTGTGATTCAATTATTTCAGAGGAGCTACCTTAAATTAGAGAGTACATCTAGTCACATGTACACTTTTGGTATCTAATTTAAGTAGTCCACCTATATATAGATTTTACACTAGCTGTCATACCTGCAACTTAACTATAGATGTTGCCTATTTAAACTTTCTGTATTGCAATCCTTATTGTATTACTAGAACATCTCTGTTATATAATATCAGTTAAGAAGTTCTAAATGCATACCTATACCCTTAGAACTCTTGTTTTATTTTATGCAGATAATTCTCAAGACATTATTACTAGAGCTTTCTGTATCTCAATTTATAACTAAATCTAGTTTATAATTCTTGCAAAGTTCATACAATTCTAGTACTCTCTTTTTACAATCTTACTAATACCTCATCTACTTTTATAAGTTTTTCTATACTATCAATTCAGTTAGCCTTGCATGATGTAACTTTATGCTCAAATCAATCAGTAATCAGGTTGGTGGACCTTCTATCTAGAGGTTCTTGTTTATACAGATTATTTGTCTCAGATTTTCTTCTTTAAATCAAGATCTTTACAAGTAGTATCATTAAAAATTGTACTACTTTTCCACTCAGGATTTCCAAGTAGGCTTCTAATTTGAGTATATATTTTCTAGATTTATTTGTATGATATTGTACATTTTCAAAGTTAGTCTTAGTATAACCAGAATTACAGAATTTACAAACCCCAGATTACAGATAAGTTTGTCAGAATAGGATCATTTTTCAAAATTTGTTACTAATGAGAATTGAACATTGGATCTACTACTTAGAGAATGACAATCTAATTACTACATTAAAATCACTATCTTTTCTCTATTTTTCCAAAAAGTGTTATATATAATATATAAATAGAACTTAAATATTTTTTTTAATTTTTTCTATACTATTGCAATAAATACTTTCTATATTCTTTTTTAAATATTTATTTTTTTCTTATATGATATTAAATATTTTTGTATTTCTTTAACTTTGTTTTGGTAGACTTAGTATTTTGCAGTTGTATATATATTTAATCTTCTTTTGTTAAGTTTTTTTAAGATTGAAAGTTTATTCAATATATATTTTATAAAAACAATTCTTCTTATATTGCTTCTTTTTATTATACAATATATTTCTTTAAATAACTTTAGTCTTTTTCAAAAGCATATTTAATTATAGATTATTATTTCTGTTATTGGTTCTTAATTTTTGATCACTATTATTTTTTTCTACTCTGTTTTCAGTTTGCTATTTTATTTATTTTTATTTTATTTATTTTTTTTTTAAGGATGTTCTTGTCTGTGTATCTTTTTATTATTTAGCTATATAAGATTACATATTATATATAGAGTATATTAATGAAAGTACAACTAGTTACATGTATTACTTTAGTTATTATCTAATTAAGGATTTCATCTATAGGTTACTCACTAGATGTCATACCTAAGACCTGCCTGTAAGTTCCTTATTTAAACTTTTTGATTTTTAACACTTACTGCATATATATACAATATATATCACTAAGTATTATAACAGAACAAGTTAGAGCTATTTAATTACTATTTATATCTAAGTATTACTTTATTAGATGTTACTAAGTATTCATAGTCTTTTGAATTTATCTTTGATGCAAACTTACTAAGTATAATATCAAAATTATCTCTTAGATTTATCTAATTTTAGTAAATATCATATTTACTAGAACTGGTTTGATGCCAGAAGTGTTCAAGTTTTAGTAAGTCCATTTTTTTTCTATAGTTTCCTTTTATATTTACTGTATCATCTACTAGTGTATCTTCTTTTCATTTCTGATATATATATCATTTCTCTTACATTGAACACTAACTCTTCATATTGGAAAACTTCTTTCTAGAAACTTTCTTATATATTGATCTTCTAATCACATGAACTTAGCTACAGGACTTCATGTATATTTATATGCTTTTATAAATTACAAAGTTTTGTCTTCAGCTGAAATTGAACTATTGACCTTGTCTGTAGAAGAAGGAGTGCCTAGACTACTAGGCTATAAGACCCTATCCCTAGTCTGCTATTTTATATAAAGTTTTGTTAATATATTTATTTGTTTGTTTTTTTATTTAAGACAATACTCTATCTTTTTACAACTAATTTCTTTTAAGTATATTATCTTTCTGTTTAATATTTCTTTTTTACAAGACTATTAGCTTTGTCATTCTATTTTTTTTTGCTATGACTTTTTATTTAAACTATTCTACCTATATGTTTTTTATTCTAATTAGATTAATTATTTTTATTATTCATGTAATATTTTTCTTTTTGAGAATTCTATTTCTATCTATATACTCTAAACTTTTACTAATATTTCTAATAGTCACATTATTATTTGTAAATATTTTTAGTTTTTTTTTTTGATATTGTCAAAATTGCTGTTCATATTACTAATATTTTAGTTGTAATAAATTTTGATTATTTTTTTATTTTTAATGCTATCTTTTCTTCTAACCAATTTTATACTTTATTTGTTTATATTTATTTTATACTTATATTTTTATCTATTATCTTTTTTTTTCTTTATATTTACTATATTATCTGTATATATCATATATTTGTTCTTATTTTTTAATATATTTTTTTCAAAATCTCTACTATTTCTTGACTAATATATTTTCTTAGTTAACTAATTCTATTTCTAGATTTTAAGTTTTATTAGCTTTTGTTTATTTTTTTTTATTTTTTTGCTTTTATATATTCTATTAATTAGTCTGTAATTGTTTATTATATTGTTGCTTTTCTCTATTCATATATCTGGAATTATATTTATTTTGTTATTAATTTTTATACAATATTGACAACTATTTTCTATTGTTTCTTTTTTTTTTACACATCTTTTGCATTTACTAATTTTAGTTGTTAAATCATTTTCTATATTTTGTATCTGCCAATATTCTATT